TATTTGATATTTGTATGCATAAAATAGCCCGTGATTTTAGAATTGATTTCTTAAAATTAATTATTTAGTTTTTTTTGCCGTGGGAATAGACACCTGAATCCTTATCCAGCAGAATTGAGACACCTTTTCCATGGGTTGACGGAGAAAGAGGATAAACTGATAAAATCTATGGGAAAGAATCCTCGATATTAGATCAGGGTCAGAAATAAATTATTTGAGCAATCAATTCTTTAGGACTTATGGTTAAAATTCTCTTCTTTTGTTTGATTCACGTAACTAGAGTTATTTTTTCGTTCGAAATGTTTCTCTAACCCATGAACACAAACAATTGCCTTAATTAATTTACCTCAAATGTTGACTCAGTTGTATCCATGCACTTGCTGATTCACAGGCGAAGCCTTTGCTAGCTTCGAAAAATACTTTAAATTCATCTTAAGTTAACTGGGAAAGCTTTTTAACTGAAACGGTTCTGATCAGAGTGGGTCAGGCTGCAAAGAACGTGAGTTGAATATTTATGACTGAAGAATGTTTGTGATCGCGGGAAATGCTCAGCATGCTGGTAGGAAATGTACCGAGAAGTAAATTGAACCGGCCCGCTGTTATCAACTGATTTTCGGAAAACATTAAAGAAGAGAAACTCGTTAGCTTGCGGCCCTTGGTCGAGGTACCATTTGTCATGTAATCTTACAGATAAAACTAGAAATTGTCGCTGGATTTGATTAAAAAGTCATCCTAGGTTGCATCGAAGTGGAAAAGGTCGTCAATATATGATTAAGAAGTTTAAACCAGAGGTTAGCATTGGGTATTTATCCAAGCGTTATTTAGCAAGACATTTCAACGTGACATGTAAAACGATATGTCAAAGAAAAAAAAAAACGGGATTCGTGATTTTTTTTATAAGAACGATAAGCGTGAATTAACGTCTGAATATTTATGTCTCCCGAGAATTATTTCGTTTCTTTCTTTCCTCAGGGGGTGGGTGAGGGGAAATTGGGCCGGTTGTATTTTTAGGTCATTTTGCATATTCTTTACCAGGGTGATGTCACCTGATTTCACGTGATACGCCATAAATTCTCGTCCCGTTTGTTCATTCCTCTTATATCAGCTGTAAGACTAAGTGTTGAGGTTTAAATGATACAAAGTTACCGAGACTTCACTTTGAAAAACTTGGTCCAATGCTCGCTAGTTTTCATACAAGCAATGATTGATTAATAGACTGGTGTACAGACATTGGTGCATTATTTCCCCAAAGCAATAATAACAACTGCGATGACCACAACTAAATCCTGGATATTTCTTCATTTCAGTAACGATCATTAGCAACCAATTAAGGAACTGGTGTATTATAGCTATCGTACCCGCTGTTCTCGGGTAACTTGTCAAGGCTACTGTCACGAAATGTCATGAAATGTCAGCCGACCGATTAGCTGTAGAGGCAGAAATTAGAGGGTAGTTTAGCCTTCTGATTTAATGTCTTTTAGAATCAGTGTTGCTCCGAATTGCGGTTAATAGTTATTAATTAGAATTTTCAAGTTATGCTTTCATCCTACGACGGTTAAAACCGTCGTGAAAAATTTGACTGAGGGAAAAAAAGTTACCAATATAATTAGAATCACCCTGAAATGTTCAATAAATCATATTTCATGCATTTAATTAGCCTTGATTGTTCCATTGTTCACTGAAGATTGAACAACACAACAGTTGACTAATTTGACTTCATTTTTATTATGTCCTCAGTCTGCCTCGTTCAGTATGCGGTGTTAGTAAATCTTATTGTGTTATGCGGTAAGTCTCTCTAGATTTAGTTTGTCGTAAATTAACTTGCTTCAAAGAGGAATTGAAGGCGACATTGGTTGTTGAAAGTTTTTCCTTTGTAGTACCTGTAAGGCCGGTGAAATTTTGATTGAAAAGCAGACTACCTCGAATGTATGGATGAGTTTTCTGGCACAGTCACTAAGTCTTCTAAGGATCGATTACTCGAATAGAGAAGAACAGTATTTTCCATCAGTTTGTGATAATATAACAACAAAAAGAAATCTCGAAATTAAATATACCAGCAGACACAGGTCTTAGTTGAATTACATGAAGTGCAAGGCTCGTGAGACACAAATCCAGCACTGAGGGAGCCAGATAAACAATAGATTTCCTTTTACTTTAAACAAACTCATCGCAGTGGAACTTATGGTCAGGGACTGTTTAAAATAAATTTTACAATTAAGAAAATTTTCCTTTTCTAATCAGAAGTATTATGGTTGGTCGCCCTCATTGAACGTGCCTCTCTGCCACTCAGAAAGTAGCTTCTTGTTTATTTACATCTATGTTCTACTCCTTCCTAGTGGGAGGGCGATATGACTCTCACATTAAAATCTCTCAAACAGAGGCAGTTGTACAGCGCTTTCTTTTCCCTTTTTCCTTAAAGTCCATTTTTATGTTATTGATATCAACAGCGGCGACACTTAACACAGCTACTACTGAACAGTCTTTTTCCCAGAAAGGCCACGCCCAAACACAGGGAAAGTCAAAGGTCCTTCCACCGCGAACACTGCCGGGAGATATAAATCACGCGGGGGCGAAAATAGGTCAGGAGTTTTATATCAATGTAATCTCTAATATTGTTTCGAGTTAGAATTGAATTTTTTTTTACAAAAGCTTCTTCCTTTGCAACAAATTGTAATATAATGTGGCTTACGGCATGTGACGAGTTATGTATTTTGACCTTGCTTATTCCAGACGTTCAGTTGGTAAAGAAATAGTAAACGGCGCGATATTACGTAGCAGCAGAGCGAAAACGCGAGGGAGGCCCTCCCTCATTTTCACATTTACATTACCCACTCCTCCAAGGCAGCAAAATTGTCACTCCGATTATTTTCTTGATCAGTTACGACCTTTTCCGTCTCCCTTCGGCCAAAATCCCTCAGCACTACCAATAACAGAAGGACTTTTGTTAGATGCTTAATGGAAAAGTTGAGCCGGAACAATGGACGATTTGTTGATACGGGTTTGGGTCAGGTCGCGACTCGATTTAGACCTCCCTCGTCTTTTCACTCCCCCGCTACTATGGTTGACTTTGACCTAATCACAGGGTGCAATATGCAGAAAGCAAGACGAGTGAAGACTGGCAGACTTGCAAAACTCCACCTAAGGACTGCATGAATTCATTTTATTAATTACATCTTTTCGTTTCTTTTATTTGCTATTTCTATATTAGGAAATGTGTGTACGGGAGTTCCTGATGGTGACTACGCCGACATACATAACCCGTATGGTTATATTACCTGCCAAGGAGGTCAGACAATCCGTAAAAACTGTCCACCAGGGAAGATGTGGGACACAGAGACGAAAAGCTGCGTTATGCAACTGAAGTGGTCGTTTGCTAATTAAAATAATTTTGTTTTTTCATGAATAAAGTCAATGATCTGATCGTTTGCAGCCTGTTTGTCGGTCACAAGTATCGTTTCCCTTTTCGGAAAATTCCCTTGAGTTTGAGTGAAATTTTCAAAGGTAAATCAACTGGAATTGTAAGGCTTTTACAATTCTGAACAGCTTTTAAAATGATTACTGACATGGGAATAATGAAAGATCTAAAGAAGAAAAAAATCATCAACTTTTTTTACTCCGTTAGATCTGAAGAATTTTCGCTAACTAGGGGCGAATCTTAGAATTTTGGATAGAAATGTCCAAAATTACTTCTCTTCCTGTCTTCCTTCAATTCTTACGACAATTAATGTCTCCAGGTCCGAAAAACCCAAAACAAAACCGTTCCACAAACATTTCGTAAAAACCCATACGTTCAGTTTACTAAGAAACTATGTGACATTATAAATGTGCTGAAGTATTGGGTACACACAAAAATAACCCTCTCATCGCGTGAAATTACGTAACTGTGAGGTTTGATCCTCTTGGGGACGCAGAATTTTTCACTTTCTCCCAGGCTCATGACAAGAAGAGTAAACATCATTCAAATCTTGAAATCCAAATCGTGTTGAAATCCTAGAGCCTCGCTTTTTTTTTTTCCAAATTAGGTCCAAACTCACCTGCCACGGAAGACGACCGCGTAAAATCGTCCTTATGCAACATCGTCCTCTTTTTCTGTTCCTTTAGCCAAAAAAAAAAACATGATTATACCACCAAATGATTATTTAAGATGAAGCGAATATGAAAATGCCAACTCTATTTTGCAATGTCATCTTTGAAAGTCACACCACTCCCTTTAAATACAACACCAGTTGTTTAGTGGCCCAATAAGACAATGAGAATCATGATCATGATTTAGTACTTTTATCTCTCATTTTATTTTCCTTTATTTTTTTTACGAAATTGCCCTCTTTTAGAAGCTTTCAGTTGATGCGCTAAAATTGCATCTTTAGAATATTTTTATAGCTAGGTATAATTGATCCTTTTCGAAAATATCTGTTTTCATTAAATTTTCAAAGCATTACCTCAGTTAATGTTGCCCAAGTCAGTCACTTTTAGTTTCATTAGGATGCATTACAAAGGAATACGCCAAAATAATCAGTTTTCATCGAGAAATATCCAAGAACAGAAAAGAACCTCAGCTTTGCCAAGCTGAAGAAGGTAAGGTAAGTTAGCCTGAAATATCTTTGTCTTTTAAATGACTGGTAATTCAATTTATGGTAGCATTATATCCTCGAATTGACATTTTAGGATCACTAGCATAGTGAAAATCAGTCTTAATTGTTTCGTTCCCTTCGGGTCAGATTCTCGTGAGTTCTTGGCCTCTGCGAACAATGTCTTATGCCTGAGGCAAACTCGGGGCTTGTACACGATAGGGTCTTTCACTTCTAAAAGGATAAAGAGCCCATAAGTTAAAAATTACTACAAACGAACCCAACTCAGCGTAATTAACAAAAATGAAATGAAAATTTTACTGATTTCACAACCAGTCAATGCCTAAACACAAGAGTTTATATTCTCTTGCTACACATTATAGACTCGAAATTCTTGTCGAGGCTATACGCGTTGATCTCTTTTCTTGTTTCAAAGCTGCCTCGATGCAGATCAAAGATGCGCAGGTCATATTACTCGTCCTGTTGGACTGGTTTGTTCAAAACAACGGTGGGTACATCTACATGTCAAGTGAAGATCAGTGAAGGCTTAGATATTTTTGATTTGACAACTGACGTAACATTAGACGCTGATAGCATAGACTGACTGATTTTTGACAATTAGTGAAGTCCAGATTGATAGATTCGGGGTTCTTAAGCTGGTTAGGTCCTTGTATTATGTCTTGAAGCAGAGCAAAATATTTATCACTCCCTCCCCCCTGCCCTCTCCAGCCATATGTGTATCAGTAAAATAAGGCGTTCATCTGAAATGCTAGGGATTGAAAAGCAACGAGGTGACAAATTTTCTGGAATGGGGTAACAATCCTGGGACGTTGCTTTATGTTGAAACAGGATCATGGTGTGACTGTCACGTGAGTCAGTCTCGTATGCCGGCTGAGATTTTACAAATGTATGTCTACTTTTATCTCAAGTAAAAACACCTCGGGGGCAGATAGATGAAACTAGGATTAAGTTGAGGAAGGTTGAGCAGATAAACATACTTGGCAACGAACAGATTTACTATTAAATTGTGGAGGAGTTCCCGACGAAAAGTTTAATTACCGCCGGATCTGTTACCAGCCAGAAAGGAACTACTCAAATAATCCGCAAGTTTTTCTTCTTTCTCTGCTGGGAAATCTTCTCTGAAAAAGTGACTTCAAAATTTTCTTTTGTAAAATATTCAGTATCAGAACAAAGAACTGTTAAGAAAGCCTTTCTTTCGATCTCCAGGAGTAACACAATATATTGAACCTTCCTACAAATAAACAAATGAAGTGCTCTCTCCGTTTGCAGATCAAAATGCAATAAATTAATGTCATTTCATTTTCGACAGTTGGTAAGCATCTTCTTGTGGCGTACTGGGGACAAAACAGCTCAGGAAACGACTTTCCAAATAATCCTGAGAAAGAACTGAAAGATGTCTGCGCCAAACGGAAGTACGACATTATTGTGATTGGATTTGTGGTGACTTTCTTTGGAAAAAATAACAAAGGTACGTGAAAAATCATGAACGACAAAAAGGGAAAAACTAATTTACTCGTGCGGTCACCTTGTGTTAGCGTCACGAGGACAATCTGTGGTAACTTGCGTGACATACACGTACATAATAAGCTACTGATTTAGATTTAAAACTTTTCAACACAGATGAGATGCCGGAGGTGAATTTTTCTGGTCACTGTTGGGAACCTGCATCACCGCAACTCCCAAACCTTTATAGTTGTCCCAACATCGAAGAGGGCATCAAAGCTTGTCAGCAGATGGGGAAGAAAGTTTTAATATCGCTTGGAGGAGCAACAGGCAAAAATGACCTGACAGATGAGAAAGCAAAAGTGCTGGCTAAAAATCTCTGGGATCTGTTCCTTGGAGGAAAGGAAAGATCCGACATCAGGCCATTTGGAAGGTGAAATAACATTACTTCGAACAG